TTGTTTTTCTGTTTCTGACTTATTTCACCTAATATAATGCTCTCAACGTCTGTGCATATTGTCAAAAATGGGAGGATTTCTTTCTTTTTCATGGCTGAATAATATTTCTGTGTGTGTGTGTGTGTGTGTGTACATACCACATTTTATTTATTTATCCTTTGATAGACATGTAGGTTGTTTCCATGTCTCGGCTATTTTTAATAATGCTGCTGTGAATATGGGATTGAAGATACCTTTTTGACTTTATTATTTATTCACATGTGCTCTTTCTAATTTCCTTTATATTCTTGTAAACATTTGACATCTATTGCATATTCAATTTTTTTTCTGAACTTATTTAAAAATCAGTTTCCTGTTTTCATTTATAAATCTTCTGTCTTCATTTTGCTTTTCTCTCCAGTGAATAAGTATCACAAATTCATGTCTATTTCCTATTTTCCTGTCAGTATAATGCAAGTGAGCTTAAAAGACCTATAGGTGGGTAATTGACTGCAGGATATTTTCTAGAAGGCTTTGGAGAAGGCTAGCTTCTATTTTCTTTTATGTCCTGTGATTAACAATATACCAAGAATTTTGGAAAGTTCTTGATCAGTTGGGTTTGCAGGTGTGTAAATCCTTATTAATATTGCTGTAAGACTTAAAATCTTGTAATCTGAAATGCACTTTTATTTTTCTATCTGAACTCTGTTTTAAATGTGATATTACTAATTTTTTTCTTTCTCCTCTATCCAGCTTCTTGCATTTTATGCTACTAGTTGTTTGCTTATCTAACTTCTTCTGCTGCTTCTTCCACTTACATCTGCTACTCACTTTAACATCCATTCTGCTTGGAATTCAATATTAACAACTCTAAACTGCGATAGGAGAGACAGATATCTATACTATTGCTGTCCCTTAAAGCAGCTGCTTAAGGGCGATCCCTGAGGGTCCCTGAGACCATTTAAAGGGGTGTGTGAAGTCAAAACTATTTTTATAATAAAACTGAGATGTTATTTGGGCGCCTGGGTGGCTCAGTTGGTTAAGCGACTGCCTTCGGCTCAGGTCATGATCCTGGAGTCCTTGGATCGAGTCCCACATCGGGCTCCCTGCTCGGCAGGGAGTCTGCTTCTCCCTCTGACCCTCCCCCCTCTCATGTGCTCTCTCTCATTCTCTCTCTCTC